GGGGGGGGGGGGGGGGAAACACCGAATAGTTTCAAATATTTACAGTCCATCTGGACCGCTGACAATGGGTGAACCAAATTCCTGCCTTCGAAGAAATCTCACAGAAAAGAAAACATAGGAAAAACAGACCTCTGAATCTACAGGCTGAAACCCAATTAATAACATTTACTCAGTAAATAACTTTCCTAGCATGGCTGGAAGCCTGTGTTCACAAAGCACTGAACGGTGCTGCACCCAAAGATGGCTTGTTTGTTTGTCAGGATTTGGGATGATTTTTCCCTTGGTATTTCCTACTCACTGGAATGCAATTTAGGATTGAGAGACACTCTGAGGTTTTGTCTTTGAAATGAAATGCCACTAACAATAACCCGCACTATTCCTAGTGTCTGTTACACCTGCACAGGGAAAGCAGCCTGTGCATGGTCTCTGCAGGTCCAAGCCTTCCCCACTCCTTACCTCCTTACCGGAGCTGGCCGCGTCGCCTCCACTCACTTCCATCCGCAGGCTTTTGTGCCGGAGGATCAGGATCTCCTTGGCGTGCTCCACAGGCTCGGTCTCTCCGGGAAGGGTGTGCCTGTTGTACGCTGGCCCCTGCACGTGGCACCAGAGAGACCGCTGTTGGAGATGGGACCGTCCCTCTCTCCGCAGCAGCATCCCTGCACTAGCGCCTGCATCTCCCAGGGTCCTTCACTCCCCATAACCATCCTGCCTGGTTATGGGGATAAACTGGTCCACCCGAGTATGAGAAGAGGGGATGGAGGGAAAAAGCCAAAGAAGGAAGATGGGACTCCAAACTCTGCTCCTTTACGCAAAATTGGCTAAGCGATCATGGAATGACAAGACTGAGATGCATCTCTGTTGGTCCAGGTGACACACCAACCTAGTGCAACTACTTTGTTCAAGGTGTCTTCAGCCTCAGTGCCTCTGCCAGCCCTCCATTTTATATCAGTCCTAGCTTCATATATAAATCATGCAATCACCAGGAACCATAAACCCTGCTTCAAAAGCCCTAAACTAACCAAAGTTAAACTTCCCACTAACATCAGTGGGAGTTGGGATAATTCTGCCACTACAAAGGGTGGGACTGGATTTAGGCAGGAGTAAGTGCAAACAGAAGGTATGCCTTCATCTTCATCCCATCCACCATTCCTATAGGTTTCCCCCCAGCCCTACCTAGCTCATTCTCTCAGCTCAGCAGGGGGTGGTTGATCCTCCCCACACCAGCCGCCTCCCCAAGGACTCAGTGTTTCATGCATAATCCATAAAACAAAGGCTTAGGTGGATTTTAAGGATAAGGCTCCATGGATCACCACATGAACAGCAATTACAATGCACAGTCCTAGGTGCTGTGTAAAACCTCAGACAGATTATTCATGAGTTATTTTGTAAACAGTGTTTTCTATGCTATTTACCAGTTGTACTAGTTCCATGGTAAAACTGCCAAGCGGTTTTAAAACCTCTGCAGATTAGTTCTCCCTCGCAGCTCACTGACTGTGCTCTCTTCTATGGGAAAAAATGCAACATGAGGATAACCCCAGTTGTTGCAACTGCTGGATCTGCTAACCTGATGCCTGAAGATCCATGTGCTCCTCCTTTCTCCTTTCTGGTTCTGGGTACTGATGCCTAAAATACTTCATGAAATTATAGGCTGACTGGGTGAACCTTTCAAAAGCTGTCATGCTGCAAACAGAAATGTGCCACTGACTTGGAAACTGGATCTGGCTTCACACAGCCAACTATTCTCTGCTCACAAAGAGACATCATTAGTAATTATGTAAATATTCATAACATCTGCTCAGGCTGTTAGGAAAACTGAGATAACTTTTGTTATTGGGCATTTAAAATACAGATTGAGGGAAGAGTTATACCGTTCTCCTTATTCGGTACAGGTTCCTTGCCAATATTTCCTGTATATTTTCCAGGACATCCGAATTCAGAGTATCCTCCAATGTTTTGTCCGTTATGACAGTCTTGTCATGGTTGCTGCAAAGAAAACCAGAACACCTTATTTTGGAAGGTGCACAGCAGTGCAAACAATACATCCCCAGAGCCCAGTGTTCACAGCAGCCCTTTTGGAAGCCATCACCAGGGGACATGACTGACAGCTAATCCTTGCAGATGGAGCTCACCGCAGAAGGGACATCCAGTATTTGCACAGACCTGTGACACCCAGGTGCTCCCTGGTAGATAACAGAGCAGTGGGGAGCTGTGGCAGAGCAGAACCGTCTGTGAGAGATGAAATGGCCATTCTGACATGCAAATATTAGACCCTGCTGCTCAGCCAATGCTCATTCTTGTTGGTTTCTTCTGTACATGTAATAGTGCAAAGCCATCAAAAAATGGTGCAAGAGCTGCATCCTCAGAGTTTCTGTGACACCATTCTGTGTCACTAGGGGGGATGTATCACTAGGGGATACAGATGACCCTCAATGTACAAGATCAGAAACTGTGTTCATCAACACCAGCAGATAGCTTATCCACCTGATCATTTTTAATCCCACCTACTAGTCTTTAATTAGTGTTTATTTTGCATTTGTCCAAATTATGTTGGTCCTTCCCACAGGATAGCCCAGCAGGGAAGAACAGAGGAGGCAGAGAAGTTTGCAAAAGCTTTTTATAACTGCTCCCTCCAGTGGGAGGGTTGTGAGGAGTGATGGAAAGGGGATGATTGCAGAAGAGCACTTACAGCAAGGATGGGTGGGACGGGGCATGACCCAGCTGCCCTGCTTCTGCCAGCTCGATGGCATGTTTCCGCTCCAGCTTTTCATAGAGAAGCACAATACTCGATTTTGGCTGATCGTATTCTCGAAGCAGGATCTTCTGCAGGTATTTGCTGTTGAAATATTCTAATCTGTTTGAGAAAGAAACCAAGACATCCTTAGCCTCCTCCCACGACTCCCCAGCTCCTAAATGGACCTGAGCAAGCCAGCAGGTTCATAGTCCATGACTGCCCCATATTTTATTATACTTCATCACCTTCTTTCCAGAAACCAATGGTCCCAGACGCTGGTTCCAAGTTATTTTTGCACTACAGTATATGAGCTAAGATATTAAAACTTTGCCAAATAAAATAAAAGCTCCCCAAAGGGCCAGATTTATCATGAACATCACTATAAGCGCTAGAAGTTAGAGCAGTAGCACCAAGGGATACAACAGATTAAAACACTTCTGGATGCCCTCTTGAACCATTTCCCCTCACTTTGTGCCCAAATGCAGCCAAACTTTTGGGAAAGATTTAGCCAGTGTCAAATACTGACACTCAAGTTTGGCTGTGGTTAGCTGCTCACAAACCTGCTCACCAGGAGCCTGAACACTCCTCAGCAGCAGCGATTCCCATACCCTCTAGTGGCACTTCCAAGCACCAGCATTCCTAAGAAAATCCCTGCCAGCTGCATTTATCAGCCCTCACCATGAAGTTAGCTGCATCTGTGTCTGCACAGCCAAGGAATTAAACCTGGTAGATTGCTATTAGTATATTTTATGTTATTTGCATTTTTTTAAAAAAACAAACTCACACATGTACATTCTACTTAATTTTTCTTAATGAAAATGGAGCACTTTGCTAGAGAAATCTATAGAGATCCTCTATAATTTGTCAGTCCACAACAAGCAGTTGTATCCAAGTGCTGCAAGCTCATATATGTACTGTTAATTGTGCACACACTGGGCTGGGGTCCTCAGCCCCTGCATGGCCGGACAAGCAGGAGGGCACAGCCAGCACCGCTGCACGCAGGGACAGGCTGAAGCCACACAAACTGTGTGTTGTGCTGGCACAGCTCTCTCATTTCCAGCAGATTTCTTTGGACAAGACAGGACAAACACAATAGGAGAGAAGAAAAGAGTCTCTATAGGGTGAAGTGCAATATATGACCTGCGAAGCAGGGAAGTGCCCTGAGAACATGGTCTCACCTTGGACAAGGAAAAGCTGCCCCTCTGTCACCTGGGTTGTGCCATAAGAATGAACAAGGCTCAGCTGCCCACAGTGGAAAGTTAGGGAATAGAAACCAGCCTCATTTTTTCTACACATGTACACAGTTGTATTTTGGCAAGTCCTTACTTGTCTTTCCAGTAATACTGTCCCCAGTGTCCAGATATATCTTCAATGCCAGCCAGCAAATGATCCAAGAACTAAACAGAAGAGAGGATTTTGCTATACACCGGTTGCATGTATTGCATACGTGATGAACTCAGTCAGCAAACATCAAAAGCCAGCAGACAAAACAGGAGATGCTTTCAGCTTGCTACACAGCGCCAGTAAACAAGACGAGGGGATGTCGGGGTAATTCCCCATCCAGTCATCCACGTGTATCCCTCGGTTCTGGAGTACAATAACTGGTTTGGCTGCTTGCTTTCAGGTCTGTGCAAGCAAAGAACAATCGCTAAGGGACATGGATCTGGTTTTTATGATATGTACAGGATGGCTGATGGCTTGCTCATCCTGCATATTGGGCCTTGATAAGCAGGAAATGCTCATATTGAGGTTTTTGAGGACAATTTATCTCAGGAGATCAGTATCTTCAGGATACAGATGTAGATAACATACAAATGATGCTTTGACTTGAATAAGAAATACTGCCTTTCCCCAGACACTCACACTAAATTTAATCATTGGCCATATCATGCCTTATACAAAAACATTATTATTGTTTAAAATTATATTAAAAATACCAGACAGGTTGATTTTTCCACCTGGAAGTTAAATCTCTGTAATTTCGTAAATCGTTTTCCCTCCTACTGGCATCTTTTAAGTGGGAGAGGGATCTGCTCTACTGTGGGTCAATGCCCCCCTACACTCAGGTACATTCTACTTCCTCCAGCTCTAATTTTAAAAAATAAAAATTATTTTTTGTGGAGTCAGAGAGAGTAAAGTTTCAGAGCAGTTCACTCAGTCCTGCAGCCTGATACAGGTTTAGAGTCCTCACATTGCTATTAGCAGCGGGATGGTCTGAGGACTGACAAATGACCCCCTGGCACTGATCATCGCTCTTGAGATCAAGAACGTCCTGACTATCTGGGCAGAGAAATAAAATTGAGGAAGAACATTGTTGATGGCTTCTGCATCCCTAATTTCCAACTATCTGCATTGTTACCTTCCCTACTTAACTTAATTGGTACGGAGCCATTTTCAGCTCACATTTCCTAATAAACACATTTCCAGAGATGATTTACTATTCACACACTAACAAAAGAAGAAAGTATTCTCTGTTCATGACAGGAAAAGACTCTTCAACCTATTGAACGGTTCTGTTAACCTCAGACAAAGCCCTGTAATACAATCTAATTGTGAGGATGCCAAACAGTTCTTGTAAATGTCCTCAGACCTAATCTCTTTATTTCTACCTACCCAAAAAAAAATATTTCTGAAGGAGCCATATCCACAGAAATGTGACTGGGCATAGACAATTAGATTCAGAAACATAATTTTACATTGGACACAGATGCAAAGCCTCAGCTAGGCGTGCAGAATACCCTGCCTTCTCATGGACCTGACCCACTCTCTGAAGAAGTCCCCTGTAACTATGAAGGCCAACATTTGGATGGTGAGAGCAAGGTGAACTAACTTGCACCTTTAGGTTATGGACTTAGAATCACAGAATGGTTCAAGTTGGAAGGGACTTTAAAGATCATCTAGTTCCAACCCCCCTGCCATGGGCAGGGACACCTTTCACTAGACCAGGTTGCTCAAAAGCCCCATCCAACCTAACACTGACCACTTCCAGAGAGGGGGCACTTCAGTGGTTCCTTCCAATATAGTATTAACCTTACTCTCCCTTTTCTACATTTTTTTGCAAGAATATTTATACTGATGGTGGAGATGGGACTTGTGAACACATGGAAGATCCCAACCTTGAAAGCAACCAAGTCTTAATTTCCTTCTTTCACTCCTTCCAGAGAACTAGAAAAGTTAGAGTTAGGTTCAAGTATAAACTTTTGGGCAAATGATTATCTTTTTCTGTGATGTTTGTGCACCACCTAACACAACATCAGCCTGAGTGATTAGGTGGCTGCTATTCCAATGCAAATAACAACCCATGGTTAGGAAGCCGCACAGGACCTCAAACTTGGAAAGGGACTGACCTGCAGAGGATTCGGGTAAAATTGCAGACCTGTAGTCCCTGGAGGCACACCACATTTCAGAAGGATGATATTGCTATCAGCAAAGCATACTGGAAAGCTCTGCCTGTGTGTTGACAGATGCCTCACTTACCCGAATATGGATCTGCTCTCCCACTGTGGGAGCACTCTCTCTTTTCCTCTTGACAGCCAACAGGTCAACGAGAGGACGGATGGTCATTCCCTGCAGTATAACCACAAACACAAAAACCAGCCTTTCTTCACATCAAGTCTTCTTAGTGTCAACAGGAGCTCACATACGGGCAGAGAGGAGAAATGCTCCGCTCCTCTTATCTGGCATCTCAAAGACCACATAAAGTCAACCAATAACTTCAAGGTCAAGCCTGTGGTTTGGTGTTGCTTGTAGCCTAGCAGGTGGAAAGGGGCTGGAAACGTTCAAAGTTCAAATGCCTGAAATTATGATAGTCCTTGAGACTTCACAGCATGCAGCCTCCACCAGCATTTGTCTGCTAACTTTTTGAGTATCTATGTGTCACAGATCATTACTCCAACGATCTCGCATGGCTAGCCAGTGGCTAAGTTTACTAATCAAAGTATCCACCTGGTGGGAAGGGTCAAGGGAAGAGTTTTAATGTCCTTTAAGCCTCATGAGAGAACTTCTAAAATGCTGCTGTGGTGCATATCTTAGTCCGGCTTCAGTATGAAATCACTTTTCTAGGACATGTTTACAGCAAAAATGATGGAGTAGTTGATGTTTATGAGTTCTGAATGTCACAATTGCTGGCACAGAGGAGAGTTGAACACATTCTTAATTGCAGAAACAATTAATGTGTCATTTTAATAGCTAATAGCAATAAAAAATGCATAGCTATTCAGAGTAAATAACATAAAACTCACAAATTTAGAAATAACAGATATTACAAAAAGTAAGTAGACACTATGCAATTTGGTCTCTTGCCTTCACTGGCTATCAGCTGCATTTGTTTCCATTTTAAAGTGACATTTTGGAGTTTTGTGACCAGCACTCCCAAATTTAGAAACACCTGAATTCCTTTGGCCCTTCCTGACCTTGAGAGCCTTATGAGAATCCCACTTGTCATTGTCAGGCCATGTCATTTCACAACACACCTGTAGGTTTCCTGTGATACTCCTCCACCCACCAGCGACAACTCATCGGAAGATGCTGACAGGTCTGTCATGGCTCACAAAGTTCTTCTACTGCCAGCGAACCAGTAGCTAATGGGCCAGTGTAGGCAGCAAAAAAACCCAAACAAACGAACTCTTCACAATTATATTTGCTAACAATTTCATGGAAGAGGTCAGAGGCCAATAGGTTGAGAGAGTGAACTTCAAATGGAGAACATGGTATTTCATTTTTAAAATGCACTGAAAAGCAGAACAATGAGAGCCTTTTGTGACATTCCAGACAAGCCCACAGCTCCTTGGAGGAATTCCTGGTATATGTGGCACATATCCAGGCCTGCTTGGATGCAATGAGGGCCTGACAATTGCTCAGTCAACCTTCTCAAAATTATTAACCAGGCTTGTTGTGGGAAGAGCCTTACGCAAGTAGCTTAGGCCAAAATAGATGAATTTCCTGGGTTGTGTAATGCACTAATAGACCCGTGTAAGGACAAGCCCAAGTGCTTCCACATTAGTCATTAGTCTGTGTAGCATGAGGCTTTTCAGACAGCGTGGTCAGGATTCCCAAGAAAACGAAGAGGGTTTGTGCTCCAACATGATGCTTTGCTGGCCTTCACCAGCTTAAAAGGGCCTAAATCATCTCTTCCCTAGTTTCTGTCCTGTCTTAATGCAGACACTCCCTGCCAAGACTACTGATTTCACGGAGAATATAAAGAAAACTTGGTGCACAAAATAACAACAAAAAAATCCACTAGCCACAGAAGTTGTTTTGTAGCCAATCTTTCACTTGTCCTTCCCATGCAAAGTGACACGCACCATGAAAGATGCTGGAATATTAAAGGTATTCATTCTTCAACCCTGAATCCATCGATGTGGCTGGCAGCAGTGCCATGCACTTCAGAAGGTGTAGGACTCATCTGCAAACCCAGCTTTCTGAAGGTTCATGTTCATACCTACTTCTGTTATATTTGCCTACATTACATATATTTACCTATATTACCTATGTTAAATTTACCTATTTATGGTTAAATGGTTAAATTTTCTTTATGGTTATTTTGGTTGAATTTATCTACCTATGTTCTATTTACCTCTTTATTGCTACAGCAATATCTTTCTGGTTCAGCTTTTAAGCAAGTTTATTTCCCAGCCCTGCCACCCCCTGGTTCCCGTGGTGGCCTCAGCTACACAATACTGCAGGTATCTGGAGCCTGAGCAAAGTCTGTCTTTATAGATGCTGTGTTCTCTCTGAATGGCTGAAGGTCAAGGGGTCGCCCTGCTGACACGTACCCATGGGGGACCCTGTTTAACTCTCATCCTTTAGCATGGAGATGACATCACCAGTTGAGCTTTGAGGTTACACAAAAGCCCTTTTCCCAGTCCTGGGAAGGATTTTCCGAAGCCTCAGCAGAATGGAGCTGCTGCCTTAGAACAACCTTTGTCTGAGACTCAAGAGCGTCTCTGCATGAGCGGACGTGCCTAGTGACCGTATCTTTTCAATTTCTGACCCACATTTGCATCTTAAAACTTGTCAACCTCCACCTAACTATGCTCCCCTCACCCCTGGCCCCTGCTCTCTCCTTTCAGTCTGAAATCTATGCCTGGACCAGCTGCCCTGCAGGACTCAGCTCCAAGCCCATCAGCACGTCAGACTTGTTGACCAGTTTTTCAGCTCATGGTGTGAATTAGGTGGACGTGGGTAAGTAGAGACAACCCTAACCCTCCGCACTGCCGAAGACCCACACCTGAGGGGTTCAGGGAGGCCAAGAGGAAGGAATTTGCTCTCTTGGGATGATGCTCAGCCATGGGGCAGCTCTCACCATGACCTACCATCTCCCAAAGCCCCAGGAGCTGCTCTGCTCTCTTCATCCAAGGGCAGGAGGAGGGCAGCCCTAGTCAGCAGCTCTGCATGAACCTCATGTGCTTGAGCACAGGAGTGCCCAGAGAGTTTTTCTGCACAGCATCATTCCTAGACACCCACCCTGCTCCCTTCAGCCCTATGGAGACACACTCATAACTTTTTGGGACAGAGCACACCAGGTACACATCAGCCTTGCTCACTTCAGGACCACATGACCCCAGTGTTTCCACCACATCCTCCTTCAAACGCGACAGCCTCTGCCAGGTGAACGAGAAGGTGCATTTCAGAGAAACTCCAAAAGGAGTCTCGCCCTTACAGACTTGCTGCTAGGCAGAGAAGAGCAGGGAGACGCATCCCAGAGAAGGCTGCAGGAATGCTTTTACCGCTAGATGTCACAGCAATGCCGAGAGCTGCTGCTCCTCCCGAGCAGGGCTTCACTGCACCCTGAGGAACAGTAACTCCTTACAACCTCAGCCTGTGCCTAAGGGAGAGAAAACCTTTCTCCATCATACACCTGGAGGGGTGCTAATTAAGAATCCGTGAAAAATAAAAGCATATTAGTAAGGAGAGCGGTACCAGCAGCAAGTTCTGCTCCTGCCCCAGCTCAGGCTGAGCAGCCCGGGTCCTTGCCTGCTACACAACTGCACGCAGGGGTCAGATGCGGCACCTCCCATACGCTCCCCAAGAGCAGACCAAGCTGCAGATGCTCCTTCAACCTTTCTATAGGATTAGGCTTTGCAAAAACACCCACACCAGAAACCACTCCTTAAAAAGAAAGAACAGAAAAAAGAATTATAGTACATTCGTGCATTAAACAATAAACCAAATATCTCAGAGCAACCTGTGCTGTTTGAGTCCACCATCCTTGCCTACCCTGGCAGTGGGGAGGTAAGGTGTCCACAGCCACCCCATGATGTGGGCAGGTTGCACTCACTCACAGAAGATTTACTACTGGGTAGAAAACAACCCAAGAACTGCTACGGCAGAACGAAAAAGTAGGAAGCAACAGGACTTAGGGATCACTTATAAAAGAAAAGTTAGAGGCAAATAAATAAAATGTGCTATGACTTTTTTATTTGCTTCTGATTTTCGTTGCTTTTATAACAAGTAACACACAATATTTTTTTTCTAATAACTGCTTTTATAACAAGTAACACACAATATTTTTTTTTCTATTGGAATAGTTAATAACTGCAGCTGCTTTTCTGCATGAATGTGAAAACATCTCAGACATATATACACAATATTTTGATAAACAACTAATGACTGTTGTTGCTTCAGCTGCTGGATGCCCCAGTGAAGTGGAACTCATTCTCAGAAATGTTAAAAACCACTCCTTCAAAATTAGGTCCCTTTACATCATCCTACTTGTGAACTACCAAAACTGAGAAGACCAAACCATAAACCTCTTTTTAAATTCTCACTGCCCATGTTCAGAGGTTGGAGTATTCCCAGTATCTTCCTGATCCTTTGGGTTCAGGAAAACTGACCTTGGTCACTGCATGGCCCAGGTAGCATTTCATTTCATGACAAGGCCTACAATAACATGTGGTTCTTACCTTGCTCAAACAGCAAACTATTTGTAGACTGATGCTTATTGGCTTTGATCTCACAAAAAAAGTGTAAAAGCACTGCTTCAGAGAGAAAACTTATGCCAGCATCATTCTTCCCAAATTTAACCACTACTACCCCAATAAGGATGGACCAAATCAAAGATGGGACAAGTTATCACAGAAAATGCTACAGCACATGATGCAAGTCAACAACTGCTAGTCAGCCTCATGAATGTGTGACACATGGGCACATGATGCAAGTCAACAACTGCTAGTCAACTGCTAATCAGCCTCATGAATGTGTGACACATGCTCACACAATCTGCCCCTTTCAGTAATAATTTCAAATTTTTATATACCTAATGGCTTTAAGAAGGGAAAGTTTTAATGACTGGTAAATCCTTGTATCCATCTAATGGTTTAGTACTAGTTATTTGTCCAGGGAAAAGAAATCATACTCATTCTTTACATCTGCTGGTGACAACGGGATTGTTTTTACCTGTATGAACACGGTGAAGAGGATGACAACAGTTGTTGCTGCAATGAAGAGCTTCTTTCTGTGAAAGTCAGGAAGCAAGAAAACCAAAGAGAAACAAATGGCTCCTCGGAGACCCCCATAGGCTATAATGAATTGGTCTTTGCCAGTGATGGTGTTCACATGAAATCTGTTCACAAAGAAAGTCAGCACAAGAACCCCTGAAAAGCAGGAAAGAAGATGGGAGCACATCAAACAAAAAGAGAAATTGGATAAAACTCATAATCTTATGATATGTTAAAACATCACTGAACTGGTAAACACCAATCACAAGGAACTGGCCAGGGCCCAAGGTGATATATTCCCACTATGCCACTGGAGAAGGCCTTTTCTTCAGCCTAATCCAACAGGTTTGCATTTGATTTGTCCAGAAAAATAATAATCCCCAACACATTTCTGATTTCAGAGATTACAAATGCCATTGACCAGCCACAGTTTTGGGGGCTTGGTACAACCATAAAATTTTAGGTAGCTCATCTTGTAGCAAATCCTCGTGTTTTTTAACTCAATCTTGTGCTTATCACAGTCCAGCTGGGAAACCAGAGTTTCCTTCAGAAGGACTGTGAACTCTGCAGGGAAATTTCAGCGTCATCCTGCTCCCATGACCGCTGATCCCAGAACACACCATTTACCTGGTGACTCAGTGTTAAGCAAAGCTAAATACGGAACAAACTGTAGCTACTGGCAACACAGGATGCGTTAGTATATTCATTTTGATAGTAGTTAATTAAAGTTTTTAGGGCAATTCTATGGTCATGTGCCAGCTGACACTTTATTTGTATAACGATATGGAGCCAGATTCCAAGAATTGAATTGAAATATTAATTGGTTTATTCTAGTTGCTGATAACGAATGATTGAACTGCTTGGATTATAAATGCTCTCAAGACAAACCATCAGCAACAATTTAGGCGCAAGTTATCCTCCAATTTCCAAAAGTTTCCAAGCAGTAGCTTGGATAAGTAGCTATATCCTGCCTATGTTAATGTTGTTTCTTTGTAAATCTTTCACTCAAAGATTATCTTGTATGAATTTAAGGCTACATAAGGTGGCACTGCAATTGATGTAATTTATATCCATTTGCAAATACATACACAGATACAGAAAGGTACAAAAAGTCAGGCCTTAAATCAGTACCCTGTGATCTTAATACCAACAGACATGATAAATATCTTATTTCCTAAAGATTAATGGCCATTTTAAGAACTGATGACACAGACTGTCATTGACTTTTGCTAGGATCCACATTGCTATTGCTTTTCTAAAGGGTGTCTGTAAAAGAAAAAAACTTCAAAAATAGTACATTTGTAATGTACATATCAAACATCTTCCCACACACCTACAACTAAAAATATCTGAACTGTGATTGCACATCAGGCCAGTTTGAAGAAAACAAAAAAGAAGGAAAACAGAACTCAATTAAGTGAACCCTACAACAACTTCCCCATCTCTGGAGCACTGTGGAGTTGGTGCTTTCAGTTTCAATTTTTTAACTTAAAAATAAACAAATATATAAAAATAAGGAATACTTCAGATCACATCTGCAATTACTGTAAAGCTCAGGCAGTGCTGATGATTTAAAGGAACAAAGTTTACTTGAGCTGATATCCTGGCTTTTGTCTTAATTTAATCATTCCTGATAAATTATTATTATCATTCCTTAAACTAATTGAAGGCCCATTTGCTCCAAGAGATGACATACAATCAATCATTTTGAGCAGAAAATATTTTCTTCTGGAGATACACCTTGGAAAAGAGCAGAAGGAAATCCCTCTAGTGCTTGAAAAACAGTAGAGTACTAGTGCTGTCATGCAATTAGTATATTTTGCTTTTTCTATTCTCTCTATCAAAGCAATTGCAGTCCCCAGGCTTCAGCAGAATCATTTCTCATTTAAGAGCAGTGGGAGGGTCCAGTAAAGGACTAGACTACAGCTTACATGCTAACCCCAGCACTGTCAACCCAGTAGTCCCCAATTCCTGCAAGCAAACTCCATGGTGCCTCCCATTTCTGGATCAGTGCCTGGAGCACGCCCAGAGCTGCTGGATGGGCCTGAGAGGGTCTGGGACTAATCTCCACCACCACCTCCACAGCAGCAGGTCCCCAGCCTGGCTTTGTCACCACCCTGCCCAGCTCACCTCCTCCCGGCACACCTATGGCCATCCAGCAAGGTGCTGCAGAAAAGGGACACCCTTTTCAGCATCAGATGTGCAAGATGATTTTGAGCCCTGGTTTGTGTGTTCTTATTTAATTCAAGGGGGGTTTTGAATGGAAAGAGGGTTTTCTTTCCTGCCTGCAACACTGAGCCCTTCTCTAATAATGTGCTGCATAATTTGAGAATGCAATCAGAAGAGCTGTGTTTAGAGAGCCAGAGGATTTTCAGTGTCCAATGAAGAATTTTTGAACTGAAAAAGCAAAACTCACTCAGAACTTTTCATTTGAGGAAATAATTTACGAGAAAACCACTTAATTGTAATAAAACATAGGAAACATTAGGAAATTGCAGTAAAATGCAAGACTTGCTATTGAGCAAGTGATGGAGGAGGAGGGAAGCATTGGTTGGGGTGTCCCAATTCGGTCCTGGCTTTCACATCTGGGATAACCACACACACAGAGCAAGCAGGAAAGGATGATGATGGGGGCAGAACCATTCTCACATTTAATGGAATCACATTTTACACCCCCATAAATACTAATATATATAAAAAATAAAATCTATCATTTCACCATACCTAGTGCTCTCCAAATGAGACAGAAAATGACAGTGAAGCAAATGTATGGCCAGTTCCACTCATGATTTTCGCCAATGGTGGAAACTCCAAGAAAGATGAAGATGAGGGTATCACTAACACTGCTCCACATCTTCATGAAGTATTTGACTGTGGTGTGAGACTTCAGAGAGATGTTGGCTTCCACGTAACGTTTCATGCCCATGGCACAAGCAATGATACTGAGAAAATGAAAACGAGACAATAATTTTTTCTACTTAAGCATACAAAATTGACACATTGACATTTCTAAAAAAATAAGCTTCATCAAGTCTTAGACGTCTGCAGACACCTCACTGGATAGTGATTCACTTCCTGCATCAATCCAATAATATCAGGAGGACCAACAGGACAATAAGATACTATGTAGGTTGACCAGACTGTCTGAATCTGTTTTTTAACAGATAAGCAACTCGCAATCTATTGCATTTATCACACACACACAGCAATACCTACAATTAACTACACCCAACTCTTCCCATCACAATACACTGTTTTCAGATTCACAGACAAGGAATAAGCTTGACCTGTTCCATCAACTTCAAAGGCCACTGCCACTAGGGCCAGGAAAAAAAAAGACAAAAAGAAACCAAAACTAAAAAACATTTGCAGAACTGTTTAGCAGATTGGGTTGCATTCACAGATAATTTTTTTAGACTATGTAGAATAGATTGGGTTGCATTCACAGATAATTTTTTTTTTACTATGTAGAACTGATTGTTTTGGCAATCAAGTTATTTTTCAAAGAAACAAACTGCCAAGTTCTACTTCCTATAATACAGTATTCGCTGGTCACAAATGAAATGAATTGTTTGAAATCAAGATATATAGAAGAGGCACTTATAATTTGGCAATTATAAGACCAGCAGTGCAGGAATCACCTGCCTTTGCAATTGTTTTGCTTTAGAAACAATGCATTATTCAAAAGAATAGAAAATGGGTTCCATAATGGGTACGGTAGATCGTGATTGATAGAAGACGACATCATTAGGATTAAATGTTTTCTGCTGCATGATGATTATGCAGCATATTTATTTCACTGTTCTGTCTCACACTCCTATAAATAGACTTTCTCTTACCTATTCCCAGAGCTAGAATTGTTTTCAGCAATGCTAGAATATTGCTCCTATTAACCATTCAAGGAAACAAAATCTGCAAGATATAGGAATAGTTTCTATCTATCTGAAACAGTATCATTAGTTCTAAAATAGATCTCCCAGATACTCTAGTGTCTAGCATGTACCTGATTTCATTTTTTAATTTTCTTTTTATCTTCATTGTTATCAGATTTACAGATGTTTACACTGTAGCTATCAATGCAGCCTAAGTGCACTTTACAGTATTTAGGGAAATACAAAATAGCTGGTTGTGATCCTCAGCACCGGCCAACTTAGTTTAGGCAGGAGAACCAAATGCAACAGGTATCAGCCTACAGAAACCAGGAGGACTGACTCACTCACTCTGTTCTTCGTCTGTGTCTGCTTTGACAATTAGGATTATTATACCTATTTTTTTTCTCAGCACCTGCTGCACAATTGAAAAGCATGAAGTAAGGCCAAAAGCTCAGTTACCTCTCTTAAAACTGAAGGATTCCACTCCCAAACAGTAGGAATATTTCCAGTCTACAGCTCCGTAGGGGCTACACAACTCCCACCCCATCACTCACTTTGCTCTGTCACCGTAAGATCTGCCTCAGCACACCTTTGGGGCCATCACTAGCTGATAGGTAGGGCATGCAGATCAGGAGGAGCATTCTAGAACAGGCGTGCTGTAAACTCAGACCAAACCTTCATGAGGATTTGATTAAATACTCCTTGCAGTTCTTCAAATGTTAGTTTTGACTGGGCCACGCATGAAAAATAACAAAATACACAAAGAAAGCCTCTTCTGGCTCTGCCAAACCCACTAGACATCTCACTACTTGAATGTTCGGGGTTTCCAAATGAAAAACATGGAGCTCAAATAAACACTCCTCAATAATCTGCACAAACCCATCAGCTGTCTGAAGCTTGCCCTGCGGCAGGCATCTGGATTGCTTGTGACTTGTAGCTATTACCATTGATGTGTAATTGTGTAATGTGTGAAACGGGGTTACGCCTCTCGGCTCTTCCACAGGCTTTTGTGCTCACACTTTGCTGCCATACACAGATTTCCAACTAAGCAAACTTACATTAAACCTTTTTCTGCCAAAAAGCCAAAAAGCTTTCCAGGACAGATCAGATGCTGGGACACACTTACGCCACGATCCCCGAAAGGTGAAACATTTCTGCGGTGAGGTAGGAAAGATAGCTGTACAGGAAGACAAAGAGCGGCTCAATGACACGGATATCCTTGGTGAATCGTGTGGTAAAGGCGGCGGTCATCCCAAAAATGAGACCTACTAAAACTCCTCCTAGCCCAACCACAAAAAATTTTCCAACTCCAGCAAAAATATCCACAGTTTTGATGGTTGGCATTTCACAGAAAGATCGAAATAGCTTGTAGAGCACCTGGATGAAAAATGAAAGAGGAAACACAGCCATTAACAAGATATTCACCAGACATGGCCATATGTAGCAATGACATTAAAATACACTGCTGGGATTTCTGCCAGCACAGGGTCAGCATCCTTCTCTGGAGGTCAGGCTACCACGTAGTGCTGTGGCACTCACATGCATATTTGTCTCCAGACATACAGTAGAAGAGGTGTTCACCTGAAAGCTTCTCAGGATCTCAGACCAGAGAATTGGACCAGGAGTCCTCTGCTAGTAGAGCCTGTTGATACCTTTTCCCCCTGCAGGGAGACTCTGAGCACCAGAGCATCCTTCCTCGCAACATTAAATACTCAAAATAAAGGCTAGCCCTTACCACCGTCACCGCGTCATTCAGGAGCGACTCGCCAAAGACCAAAATGTGTAGCTTTTCATTGACGTGTATCTCTTCAAAGACCGCCAGCACTGCCACGGGATCCACGGCGGCGATCAGGCTGCCGAACAGGAGGTTGTGGAGCAATGACACATCCTGCAGGCCAAAGGCTTTCACCTGGCAGATCCCATACAGGGAAAACCCGATCCCAAACACGTTCCATATTGTCCCCACAACCGCGTAGAGGAGGATAGTACCGATGTTCTCAAAAAAGGGACGGCTGGGCATGAAGTACCCCGCATCGAGGACGATGGGGGGCAGCAGGTAGAGGAAAAAGATGTCACTGTCCATAACAGGTGGTGATCTGTCATTCAGGCCATAGATGATCCCTCCCATGATGAGTCCTACAAATATCAATAAACAGCTTTCGGGAACAACAGAAGGCAGCTTGTTATATAGATGAAACCCTGGAAGGGGATGAACAGAAAAAAAAAAAAGTATTTTCTCATCAGTCCAAACTGGCTGAAGAGCACCAACCACCTCCTTGTTAGGGTGAGGAAGCTCCCCCTGCTCCCACCTTCAGCAGGCTATGCTTTGGAGTAGTAGTAATAAATGCACACAATTAAGATGAAGATGCTCAACCAGAAATTGGCTAGAAAATCCGAAAGATTACTGATTACTGAAAGTTTTTTCTAATATTACTGTTGGTTCTACTGCTGGTTGAGACTGCATTTCATCATAGCATAAGGTTAAAGATATATTTTTAGGTAATAAAGAAATAGAAAAACTAAATAATCTGCATAAATAAAAAAGCATTTGGACGTAATCTAGTTAACAAGTCATTTTCAGCACTAACATAAATAGTAACTGCTAATTTTAAACACAATACTGACTCTATACATCCATAAAAAAATTGTCAAGAAGTACTTTCACTAATTATAAACGGTGCCATTTTTAATATTATTTAATCATTAACAATTAAAGCTAAAGGCAACATTGAAAAAAGTCCAATCAAGCCAGCCCTGTGCAATGCCCAATGTTAGAGAGAAATGCTGACAACCACCAAAAGTACTAAGGTGAGTTATTAACAGAAAGAAAGAAACTGAAACAAATCCAGCTGGAATAGGAGTAATAAGAAGAATACATATCTGCGATCATTATTATTTCCTCATGCATGTTAGTAGAGTTGAGATCTCATCACAGAATATGCAGAATACCAAAACAAAAAGACCATTTCCATCTGAAATTCTTATCTAAATGAATCTCAGAGACTTCTCCCTTCTGAGGAAAAAAAATAATTTAAAAAAGCTCTAAAATAACTTTTATAGCAGTAATTTAACAGAAGTGATCACAATTCCTGGAGAATAAAAACAAAAGAATATATTATTTCCATTTTTCTATGCCCAGTTTTGCAAGGGAAAAAAAAAGATAGGTCCAAGTTATAAAAAATATGATTTCTTACGTGTCATTACACAGATAGCCTCCTTGATGCAGAGAGATGTTATTTTAAGCTGTATAACACCGCCACACATGGACTGAATTATTCCTTGTGGCTGGTCAGACATGGCACACTTTTTTAAGTCCATCCTTCCGCTCTCTCTCAAGATGCCTTACCTATTTTGGCCAAGGAGGCAAGCATGATCCAGAGTGTGATTTCAAAGGGGACTTGAACATGCTGATAATCCACAGAGAAGAACGCATGCTCTGAGGACTCGTTGCCCTGGCCTTCCTCAGCAGCCCAGCTGATGTTCTCCGGGATCACGTCCTCCAGCAGCGGCATCAGTGGTGAGCCCTGCAGGGCTCTGACCCTAGTGGCTTGGAGGATGGAGGAGAGCAAGGACCCAGCTAGGACAGCAGCTGCAGCTTTGCACCCTGGCCTCTGCCCCTCCATCTGCTCTGGAAGGCGTCTGCTGCTGGGATTTGGCTGCTCCCGCTCTCACTGCTGCGGCGAGCGGTTGGGAGGGCGGCTGGAGAGAGCTGAGCTCAGCTCACCCTTGCTGCTGCACAGAGAGAAGCATCTGCCCCGCCTCACCCTGACTCTCCTCCTGCTCCATTAGTTTTCAGCTGGGAGACTCTGCTGGAGAATCGTACCCTTCGGCACCACATGCCCAAATAAGCAGAGGCTCCTCCTGCAGATGCTTCGCTGAAGAAATGCGTCCTGCACCCTCAGACCAGCTGCATACCTATGCATGCTTGAGAAAGAGACAAGTTGCATTTTAGTCCTAAATCTTCACATATTTTGGCTTCCTCTCATAAACCCTTCTTGGAGGGGAAAAAAAATAATAACATATCTTTACTGCTGTTAGAGCAGCCAGGCTTTGATGGAACAGGTTGCACTCAAAAAATGCTCCATCCAGAAATGGACCCATCTTAGAGTGGGCTTCACTGCATTTCTCATCTCCCACAGAGAGAACCCACAACAGTAACATTATTGATAACCAGAGTTTCCATTTGATAAATCAAGCAAAGCAACCCATTTTCTTATGCTAAATGGAGAGCTGCAGCACTGTGCTGGATAGAGGCCACCTGTACTGGAAGGATAAGTTTCAACAACTGCTTAAAGCGTCTTCCTATAATAAGGACTAAGAAGAAAAGTTATCTTCATCTCTCTTCACTACTTGAAAATGGCACTGAAAATTGAGTGAGCTTGCTTAGAAAAGTCGGAAAGACTGAAAAATAAAAAGTTATTTGCAATAGACAGAGAAAACCCCCACATATTGGGCCAAATTCCTCCACTGTGCAGTTTCATTTAAGTTGATGATGTTTCAACAGGGATGAATTTGGTTCAAAGAACACAAGTAATTAAAATACAGAAGCCCCAGGCTGTTGCTAGACTGATCAATGGCCTATTTGTTTCTCTTCAGCTGCATAAATGACACCAAAATTGAGCTGCCAATAACAAGCTGGTGACCCACTTTTCTGCTGTAAAGTCAGAACCCAACATCATGCAGATGCAGATCCTGGGTTTACCACGCGAGCTCCCTGTTTCTGATCTGATTTGTAAAGCAGGAGGCAGATAAACTTTGGAAGACAGGAGAGATGCAATGATATGCCCTAGGAGTGATTTCTTTCTACTTTACCATGGTTAATTTGAATTAATAATGGGCCTTTACCACACTTACTGACTTCAAAGCAAAGCAACACTCCTCTCAAGAGAGTGGTCTTCCAGAAAACTGAGCTTTTTTAACTTGGTGACACTTCTCCCTTTGTATATTTAAAAAATAAACAAAACTGCAGGACAGATATCCCACAAGGTTTTCCTTCATTAAGTTTTCCATAGTTCAATTCTATAGGGCCTGGAATTGGGAGGAGAGGAAGAGGTGATGAGGTGGGATCCCTTGTTACTCTGAAGGAGGGAGAATACAGTGCTCTTAACTGCAATTAAGAAGTAATTACGAAATTACTCAGCCAGAGTTCAAAGTAGTGGAAGCAGTTCCGAGGCTGGGCTCACATGTCAAGCCATCATATTCATTCTTTCTGCTGAAATATTTGATGCTGAACTCAGGAGTTTGAAGACTTGTTCCATTTGGTGACACAGAAAAGAAGTTTTTTGCCAATGTCCCATTTCCCTCCACCTCCAAACAATCCATTTTGATTTTTGCTATTTTCAGGAGAAAGGCAATAAAGTTAGTATTCATTTGCCTCTACCTTAAGCCAAAAATGAAGTGTTTGTGTCTTGGACAGAAAAAAGACCTGCAGCATGGAGCTCAATAGCGCTATCTGGAAAATGCTTTTGTGCATAGAATCAATATCTATTTGATAATGGGACCAGAAAAAAACCAACAGAGTTGGGTTGGTATCTGAGGAAGGTCAACAGAGAGGACAATATTAAAATATGCTCCACTTTTTGAATGAAGTTACCGTACAAAATCAGGACCTTAAGGACAGTTAATAGGTGGTAACAGAGGGGCAAAGAGCCTGAGCCAGTACCTTGTGCAGAGATTTCAATGACCCCGCTTCACTTGCTTCTCTGCTCCTTTCTGTAGCGGTGGTTGCAGCCCTGCAACAAGCTCCGTGCAGATGGATCAGTGCAGCCTCTCTCTGCACAGTGGCTTTCACCCCGCAAGGCTCCGAGCATCTCCTTAAAAGTTCTCAGTGTAACTACTGGCTGGCTGTCCCTAGACCTGTGAAGGATAACAAAAGGCTCTTTGCAAACACTTTGGACACCATATTTCATTACAGTGAGAACCCTGAGGTTGCTTTTAGGATTTTGAAACTCCCCATTTTTCTGTTTTGCATTGTTCTACTCTGAAATTCTATGTAAATAAGCTTGCTCCTCCCCTTAAATTCTTACATGTTCATTATATACTAGTTATAAATAATTAAAAGCCAAAGACAAAATGTTTTTCCAAAGTTCTATGGTAACACAATATGTGTTGTTCCTCTTGTAATGGCTATTGATATTATTGAGCCACTTTTTAATGTGAGTTCCATTTGATCATACATTTATTGACATGCTTTCATTTTTTTCTAATGTAATGTGCTTTCCCACATTTTTAGGTTTCCAGGCTAGAATCTGATCCCTATAATTGTATTGACAGGTACCTTGCTCTGGTATTTGTAAGAACACTTTGTAACAACAAAGTATTGTGTGATATGGTAACAGTGACCAGAATTCAGTCTCCTGCAATGAAAATCTTATGTTAAATTATTGTCAACAAATGTCAACAAATTATTTTTCTTTACTTTGAGAGGGAAAGGAAAAATGTGAAATCTTTCCGCTTACCTTTCTGACATGTAATTACTTCTAAATATATTCTAACTCCTCTTTTTCACTATGAATGCATGTGTCATTTAACAGAAAAAAATAAATATTGTACATTAAATCTGTTTCCATCACCTCCTGAAATTCATACATCAACCACTGAAATTTATGAAAGGAACTCTGAATATACTCATACCTTACATAAAAAGAAAAATAATTTGCACTGCACCTTTTAGCTACAGTACTGCAAAAACTTTCCATGTTATTTGGGCCTCAAATCAAGAAATCATTTAAGCATTCACTCAACTACAAGCACTCAAGGTTTCATAGCTTACAGTTTATAACACATGAAAATCCTGTGTTGGACTGGGGCCTCCCAGAAATACCCAGCCCAGAGAACCACATAGTAAAATCCTCCCCAAAAATTTGCCAAGTTCAAAACTGATCAGAGGTTTTCCTCTCACTGCAAAGGGATTGCAGAATTTCTTTCCCACCATTGGGACTCCCATTGATTTCCACTCTTTAGTGTAATTCAGATAATCCTAGTAGAATTCCTTCTTTCATAGAAGAAAATACATGTTCTTTCATAGAAGAAAATGCAATCGGCAGCATCCCAGGAAAGCACAAACCCCAGGGCCAGCTGCTGCCTGCAGGGACACAGCTACCTTTGGCCACAGTTCTACCTGTGGCTTCCTGATCCGTGGCAAGAATAGAGAGATTTTCAAATAAATACTTGTGGTGTTTACTGACCTCAGAAAAACTAAGGCTTCTTTCTCTTTTTCTATACTATGAAAGTTTAATGTATCCAAAATCATTTACATGCAGAGACGTTGTATCCATTCTCAGTATGTTTCTGTTTTCCCCTAAAGAAGAGAATGCCTTTTGATTGTGAACAGTGCCCTAAATCGGTAACTTGATTTTGGAAAATAGCCCACACTTGTCTCTGTTAACTTTCAAACTTTGCAGTCTCTGTAGGACCTCCATAGGCACCATGAGTGCTCCTCCACACTCCTCCTCGCTCTTCACCCACCACCCAAACACCCAGACACGGAGCCACGGCTGCTGGCAGTGCCGCAGGGATACTCTCTCCTACATTAGTAATCCTTTGAACACAAACTGCCCTCCTGTGCCTTCTTTCCAAAAATCATTGTGGCTCTGACTGCATTATCACTTCTGGCAGACCTGGGACAAGCTTAGTACTGTAAATCCCCAACTCTTAAAAAAACATGAGTAGATCTAATCACTTACATACCCTACACCCACTTCCAAGACTTTTTGACTTTGATACTAGGCATGATACAGCAATCAATTTTCACCTCATGTAGTTCTCAGAAGACAAACGATTTCTGCATTTCCTCCACAGGGAGCACTTACCTTCTGACCACAGGCAGCCCCAGAAGTAATACAGTGGATTAACCCAGCAGGAGCTCTTGGCTTCCTCTGGGGAAACACTTCGGTGTACCATGCTGAACTCTAGGAATTTTGTTTAGAGATAACCTAGATGATTTTTGGGATCACCCAGATGATGTTTTAGTGTTATCACCTTTCCCTCCCCCCCACTTTTCCAAGTATACCTATTTTTCTGCTTACCCTAAAAAATCTTCCTTTTTGTACAAAGGAGACAACAGATTTCATTAAAAGATTCCTGCTCCACAAGCAAATTAATATCCAGGAGCCTCTCCAAAAAAGCTAAAGCAGGATGGCTGCTTGGTTGCCTCTCCACCCCTCATGCCCAGAAAAATTCAGATGCACGTCCTCATATACGTGAGCTGGTTCTGTGCTGTAACAGATACAGCTCTTTGACAGAAGCTGAGGGAGACATATAGAAAAGCTCCTAAAAAGTTATATTCCATCTAATCAGCTTGTTGTGAAAAGATAAAATGTAAGTGTTAATGATATCTACATTTGGTATATAAATATGGTATTTCCCACTAACATCAGAACAGCCATTTGTTTACATGCATTGTCTAAAATTTGAAGGAGAAAGCCATTCTCGTTTATGAACACGCAAAATCTCTTCCTCCCTCCCCATCAGAATGGAAACTACTCATATTTTCACATATAATCACCTTATTTTTCAGTTTCTCCTCCTCATTGCCTGCATTTTCCATTAAATTTTAATAGCCCCAGTGAAGACTGCACATAAAATACTGATCTTCTTTCTGAAGATGCCGGGACAGAAGACTACATACTTCCATGCATATGCAACCCTGTGAGCAAACACAGAAAACACATAAAGCAGACAGGCAGTTTAGCAAGAAGATTTAACTGGAAATGAAATTAAGACCAAGCTCCTCACATCACACTTCCCTTGCTGGGAAGGACTGTACTTGCAGCTATTCTGGACAGCAAAAACGGAAACCCCCTTAAAATTCAAAGGCATAGCATGGCTGTTTCTCAGTATATCACAGGCCATGAATATATTGAGAAACTAACTTCGTGTTGCAGTGAGCTGGATGAATTTTGTGCTGTTTAACTCATGTGCACCCCACAGAGCCCAGGTAAGAATTCATTTTTAATTTAACATCAGGGACTCCATTCAAAAATCTGGTTTTAACAAGAATTTGAACAAAATTACAGTGAGGAAATTCAATATGAATAAGAAAAAATCAATATTAATAAGAAATGAGCAAAGAAGAATAAATCAAAAGAATAAGACATTTGCTGAACCCACACTCTCAGCATCAGGAAGCCGCAGAGAATGTATAAAACGCTAAATTTTCTGGTTCACTGCTTAACACCAGCAACTGGAAAATCACAGATTTATCACTGATACCTTGCCTAAATGGAGATCATTTGACAAATACTCCCTCCCATATCAGTATTAGGAAGATCCAAAATGATCAACATTGTCCTTGCTTTCCATCTACTCTTTTTCCATACTGCTTCTATATAGTTTCCATACTGCTCTCATTGCAAACACAGCAACCTGGTTATGCTTCCCACCAGGCAGCATTCGGGCAACAGACTTGCAACTGACTGCACTACAGCTTTACATCTAAAAACTGCCTATTGAACATGGTTTTAAAAGATTCCTCTAGGGCAATTCCAAATTCAGTCTTCTATTTCTTTTTGTGGAATAAACATAAGCAGGTAGCTATGTACTAGGTTGTATTTGTTATATAAAAATATTCAATAACTCTGTCCAAAAGCCATTTTAACGCGATGGCATTGCCTGTGACCAGTGACCTGTACTTTATGTTTGGTAGCTGGGCTCAAGTGGTGAATGGTCAGCAGAGGGAAACAGAGTTGTGTTGGCTTCCTTTCTGAGCGTTCAAACACCAGCAGTGCAAATATCCAGGCATACCATTTCATAGTTTAATTTGCACAATTTTTGTATATGCAACATTAAAACTTTCATTTTCTGTTCCGGAAAAGGTTCTTTTGTAACTCAACTTACAGGAAAGAAGAATAAGAATGAAGAGAATCTGTCAATATATTTACTTCAAGCCAAGATTTTTTTGAAATTAATTTGCCATTATGCTCCCTGTTCCATTAAGTTCACAAATGTTACCCATTTGAAACAAAGCAGTAATAAAGTTTATGTACACAAAAAGAATGAGAGCAGGTGTGAGTCTGGGCTTTCTCTCACTCTTCTTTGTTAACTTCTGTTACAACTCATAGTAATTAGTTATCAAATCACCAGCTTTATATGGTTGAGCAATAGGCAGAGCAAGTAAATGGTCAATGTGTCTTACAAGCTTGGCACTGGAAAGAATTGTGTAGTCACTACAGATGGGGAATGAGAGCAAAAAATAGCAACACAGTGTATTAAGAAATCATATTATTGCACAAAACAATAAATTTATTGAGGAGGACCAAGGAACCCTAAATAGTAGGTCAGAGCTTACACGTCAGCAATATTCTGTGAGTGTGTTTCTATCACAGGGAACTCTAAGCATCTGCTGTGCCCTACAACTCGTGAAGCCTCTATGAGGTTTCCTCCAGCTGGGTAGGGTAGGGCCTGAGAGTTGGCAGAAAAGCATAGCACAAAAGCATGAAAAGTCAATTAGAGCCATACCACGTGTCTTAATGCTAAGTGAAGAACTTCAGCTTTGATGAATAAAACTCCACGTTCATAGCCAAGCTAGGGTTTCCAGTCCCATGGAAACAGCAGAGGGAAATTAAAGCTAGCAGCCCTCTTTGCAGCAAAGCTCCACAGCCCTTTGCTCACTGGCCTTTCAGAACTTAAACGAACATCAATAAAGTCTCAGGAAAAGTGGCAAGATGCCAGAGTGTTTCCAAGAAATAGTAATCTAACAAGATTGTAACGCAGTGCTGCATCTTTTCTCCCTGAAAAACAACCCATAATAAGCTTTCCCAGCAAAATAAAGTGCTGATAGACACAGTCCCCAAAAGAGTCCCAGTACATCTTGTGCAAATTGTAGTTAATTCAGCTCCAGACAGCCCTGCTGCTGGTAGATTCACAGATTCCCCCGGGTTCCTCCACTGCATCAGACATTCCTCCAGCCATTTTGCCTTCCCCAGAGCACAGCCCTCAAGTGAAGGGGGGACATCTGCAATTCCAAGGTGGGATAGGATGGAAGGTCTTTGATGTCTTGGGATTCACAGGTCAATACTAAACACTTTTATTTCCATTTAGCAGCCTACAGGCAGCCAGGACATGGTATGTAGTAGTGGCAGAGCTTGTTAGCAGCTGGGCACTCATTTACCCAGCGGAGCTGCTGACCCACACAGCTGATTTATATTCCCAGTAGATTGATGGGGTTATCAAAACAAATTAACTCAAACAAGATTCAGGCAGGAATTAAGTGGTGAGGCCCTTCTGGTAAAGAAAAAAAAATTAGGCTAACTAAAATCAAATAGCTAAATTTTGGAAACCTATATGCGAAACAGGAACAAAACAGAAAAAAAAGTTATCAGAATTGCAATTTCATATATAAACTAATGGAGAGAAAGCTGGATTCCATCTTTCTAGATTTTAACCAGCAGAACATAAGAACATGATTGATGGAAGCTGTTGTTCTGCACACCTGGGCATCCTTTTTGTGGGAAATAATCCTCCCTCCAAAGAGAGGTGGACTTCGAGATTTATTCGCAAAAATGTTTTTAAACTTCTGAAAATCCTGAAGTAAAAGGTACTACAGGAAATCACCACTAGGTATCATAATTTGACTATTTAATAGATATCAGAAAAATTGTTAATGTTGATCTGGCATATAAAAAAAAATCCCTATTACACACGCAGGTAGATTAAGTCACCTTTGACAGGGGTTTATTTCCCAACCCTGACAAGAGAGGGCAGATGGGGAATGACAACCCGAGTATAGGTCTCAGTTACTTGGGTAGATTTAACTAAATAGCCCAGCTTACTCCAGAGTCCCGTCCCGGTACCTGAGGAGTGTTTCTTTGTGGGAACATGGAATGAGAACTGGATATGAAAGCAAAAAATTCCCCACCACTATTTCTCCTCAAATTTCAGATTTTCTGGCACGTGGATAAACATAACTGCCAGCCAGAATTTGGCCTTAAGTATATGACCTGTAAAATACAGCTCTGCTTTGTAATAAAATACATCTGCTGTCCTTCAGCAGTCTGGAAAAGCACACCTTTTAAGTGTATTTTCCTATGTAATTTTAGTTCACTGAGCCATTTTTCCTGCTAGTGAAAATGGGCACAGCTCCAGTGCAACTGTTGAAGTTTTACTCAAATTCAGAATAGGACTTGGCATCTTTCAAATATAAATAAATCCAAAGCATGTCATGGATTGAAACACGTAAACTAAAATAAAATTGAACTAAAAATATTATCTAAGTGAATAATAAAGATATTGGCCTCATCTTTTCAGAAATTACCAGGTTTTGCTCCTAAAATGTATCCTGTAGCAACACTGCATACATCTTTCTTCCTACAGACTTTTGAGAAGATATTTATATTTTGGATTAAATCACAGTAACAAATGCTGGGTAGAAGAGGAATGCAGATGATACTTTTCCACAGGGAAAACTGCAGAGCATCAATAACAAAATACAGTCTGTGGTGCTTTACATTAACAACGTGCATTTACATCTTCATTTGCACTGCTAAAACATGCATTATTGTGCTAAGTAGCTACATAAATTAGCTGAAAATTCATTTTCCCTTTCCCTCCTCCGAATTGTGCTTTTATTTAAATTCTAAGAACTAAGTCATCTGACGTTTTTCTATTAGAAAACAAAACCCAAAGGCATGCCTGCACTGAAATCATGTATTATCCTTGCAGGTGCTAGACAGGTCCTGGCTTCACCTGGATCCATCACAGGCCGGTTTCAGCATAGCTGCTACCCTGATTAAATAATGTGCTCCTCGCGCCACCAGCAGGTTGCAATACAGAACATAACTGTCATAAAGGCTACACACAACAAGCTTTTCTCACCTCCTTAAGTCCTACCTCTTCTTCTCCTCTGAACCTGCACTACTCTTACGCCTACTACGGTTTCCAGCATCTTGAGCGATTCCCCAAAATCCAACACCTCACACACAGACAGGCCCCCGCCGTTGTGCGGGGCGGCGGGCCCGGCGGTGGGACACCCGGTCCCTCGCTGCCTGGGCCCCGCACCTGACAGGG